ACATAGAATAAACCACCAAAGGGTATTTGCCTGGTGAGGGGTGAGCACCCAGCTCGTGCTCAGGAAGCTGCTTCTTACTGCAGCCACCAAGGTAACACACTGGCCATTTTATTTTCATTTAAGAGAAAAAGACGAGTCAGCAGAACCTCGCTGTGCCCCTCGGGGCACATAAATCTCAAGTGAGCAGAGCGTGCAATGCTTCTGCTTAAGAAAGCATCAGGACATCCTTTGTTTTTTCCAAGCGTGGAAACCTGGGGTCTATAAAGCATTCCTGGAGAGGGACCCCAGCTACTTGTCAGTGCTTTGGAAAGAGGAAGCCCCCCAAGCAGCTGGGTTTGTAGCCCTTGCAGGGGCAGGACCAGACCCTGGGGGCTCCAGAACAGCCACCAAGGTGTCACCCAGCCCATAGCAACCCCCAGAGCTCACCCTGCTGCAGCGCTGCTCAGCCTCCTGCATCCTCACAATGCTCGGAGCCAGGGGACTGGAGAGCAGTAATAGCAGCTCAGGCAACCCAGCACCCTGCTGCTGCACATCTGCATCCCTCCCAGCCCCACACAGCTTTGGGGCATCAGAGACACTCAGAGCAAGACCAGGTTCAGCTGTGTTGAGTTTGCACCCTCAGCAGAGCCCTGCACCCTGATGCTCCCCACAGCCATCACAGCACCATGCTCCTGAGGCTGCCCCTCGGTGGGCTTGCTCTGGGTGCAGTGGCACTTCCCAAGGCTGCCAGACCCTCGTGTTGTGGATCATGGCACCAGGGGTTTGCTGGGAACCCCAGTGGGATGCCCCAGCCCGCTCAGCATCCCAGGGCTGGCCCCATGCCTCTGGGCAGCAGGAGCAGGGTCTTGTGCCAGCACCAGTGCCCACTGGGGCGCTTCCACCACCGTTGCACTTGTCCAATGCAGCAGCACAAAAGCACATCCCCCATCAGCACATCCTACCAGTGTGACACGTAGGAAAACCTTCCCGGTGAATAGGGAAAACACAGAGAGCACGGCTGGGATTTGTAGGGTATTTTAGCCCATCTTCTCTCCGGGAGGAGTGATTCCCCAGGGAGGAAAAGGAATAAACCAACCGATCTCCTGGGGGCTTTTCCATCCTGTTTTCTATGATCTATGATTTTCACCAACAGTTCCTCACCAGATCTGCATGCAGACGTTTGCAGAGAGATAAGGGATGCTCTCCCTCCCACACAACAGCACAGCCTTTGTCTGCTCCGGAGAGACGCCACTCCACATCCATAAGCAAAGCCAGGAAATGGGGTGGCTGCATTCAGCCCAGCAATCAAATCATCAGGCTCTAAATAAATAATCAGATGAGTACCAGGAATGCTGCCTGTGCCTGCTGCTCTCCCTGCCTGCTCGGGAAGCACCGGGCAACGCCGAGGAGGGAAACTGAGGCGCCAAGCCTGGGGACTGAGGTGGAGGGAAGGAGCGCTGGTGATGGGTTCCCGATACCTGTTTGCAGCTCATCTGAGTGGTTTGTACATGAGAAGAAGGGTTTGTTTCACAGAACGACCAGGGCAGTGCTGGTCTCTGTACCCACTCACAGGGATCTTCTCCTCTCCTGGCTATCCTGATGCAACCTCCCGTGCTGGGATCTTCATCTGCAGGGATGAGGATGGATGTGCTTGCTGAAGGAGAGCTGCTATGGGTGTCACTCTGGTCCATGCCATGGCCACAGTCAGCAGCAGCACACAGCAGGGAAACCCTCCAGGGCACAGAGATGGCCCTTGATCCCTTTCTGGGGAGCTTTGGTTGTGTGGAGGGGATCAGATGAACGCAGATTTCTTATTAAGATTAATTTGCAAGGCCAGAGTAGCCCCAGCGCCTGGTTATGCCTCTCCTTTCCTCCTCCTGGCCCCTTTCCATTAGATCTCTCTGCAGCTCCTGCTGTTTTGCATCCCATTGCTTACTGCAGTGACAAACAAGCTGGTGCCTCCCTGATTCCCTCTCCACGCTGGGTGTCCCCGTCACCCGGTGCACAGAGCACCATCGATGGGGAAAGGTCACCTGAGGCCAGGAGGGTGATGGCTACGAGGAGCTTTTGTCCCAGGTGTGATGGGGAAAGGGATGGGGATGTGCCACTGGCACTGCCAGATCCTTCTGTGCACTAGTGTGGGATGCTGGGACTGTCACTCTCTGGAATCAAGTCTCAGACAGCAGCACCATGCTCCTGTACTGTCTGTAGCCCTTGGGAAAGGGGTGCTGGGGACAGGGACACCCAACGCAGCAGGAGAGAGAGCTGGGGAAGCTGCTGTGTGATTTGGGAAGCAGGGAGTGCAGAGGCAAGCAGGATAAACCATCGGGGAGCACATTTGGGCTGAAATCCAGAGGGGATTATCACCAGCAGTGCAGGGATCTGGGGAGGCTTTGCAAAGCTGCAGGCATTTGACCATTGCTGTTTGAGTGGAAATTAACTGCATTAACTGGAGAGGAGCGGTGCTGCCATGTCCCAGCCACTAAGGTGGGAGCACAGTCAGGGCCTCAAGTGTTATCTCTGTCCCCATGATGTCCCCTTTGCCCCATATTGCTGGCATGTTGGGGTCCTCAAGCTCAGTGACATCGAGTATCTGAAAGCACAGAGGACTCCTGGCCAGCGCTGGTGGTGACACCTCAGATTTATGCAGAAGCAGCTTCCATCTGTGAAGATGTATTCACAGATACAGCTGTGAATGTATCCAGGAACAAGCCCAGAGAGGGCTTTTGTAAGCCTTCAAGCTGCATGAATCACTCCAACCATGAACCCCTGGGTGATGCCCTGTGGGGCTGGGGATGCTGAGGAGCCCCTTGGCTGAGGGAGCGGAGCTGCTCCCATAGCACCACTCCTGCATCCGCACTTGGAGATGCTCGGGTGGCTTTGAACAGGAGCCAGAGCTGGAAACCCTCTGGGGGTGAGCACAACAGCAATCCCCTCTGCTGCTGGACTCTGCGACCAGCTCCAACCCCAACCCAGAAAAGCCTTTTCCCTGCAAATCACACGGTGCTGAGGCTCCAGCTGGGCGAGGAGGTGCCCATCCTGCAGGCGAGGGGCTGGATGCTGCTGGGTGCTGCTGGCTCAACACCAGCACAAGTGGCCTCAGCGTTCACCCGTTTCAGCAAAATCCGGGCTGCTGAGAAGGTTAATTATATCCTTAATTTCTCCAGTTGTCAAATCTTGTTGCTATCGTCTCAAGCTGACAGTTATATACCCAGCAATTAAGTGGCAGCAAGGCTCTGCAGGCAGCAGGGGGGTCTGGCCTTGTTTCCCCTCTATGTACAAAACACGCTCTCAAAACGTTGCCTTAATGGAGCTTAACAGGGCTGGCAAATTCTTCACTTGGAAATCTCATGTTTGCCCATGTGTTGCACCAACAAACACCAAACCAATCCTGGCTCCAGCAACAAAGGCTCCTCGTTAGGAGGCATGCGTGGATTTGTGCCTTCTTTCCCTCCCCAGGCACCCTTTTAGGCATCCATGGAATGGTGCAAACCGGATCCAGATCATCATCTTGATCATCATCCTTTTCCTTTCCTGCTGCTTCCTCTAATGCCCTGATGTAAAGAGCTGTCCCAGCGGGTGTGGGATGCAGGACATCAGTCAGGAAAGCCTTTCACCTACAGGACTGACCTGGATCCAGCAGCAAGAGGGGTTTGCTGTACGATGCTTTACAGGAATAGCTGGTGTGCTCCTTTGGATGGATTCATACTTAGAGGTAATGCTATCAAAGAAGAGGCTCCTGGATTACCCACTGCCCCCAAGCTCAGTTTTTCACCCTTGAATGACCACATTTGGACATTGTTAAGATCTCTCCCTGCACCACAGTGTGTTTTACACAGTGCTGGGGTGGGTGGCCCCTATGCCAGGCTCCCAGGGCCACATTCACCCTGCTTCTGCAGCAAGATTTCACATTGGCTTTGTCATACCCTGGCTCTAACCCATGCCAGGACAAACACAGGCTGCTCTGTGACAGCCACCCCCTGTGTGATGCTGAAAGGGAATTGTCTTTGCGTTGGGGTGGGGGTTATTTGGCCATCCAGCATCAGTAGCATCAGTGCTCTTGGGGAGGAACCCAAGTCCTCTGCAGGTGCAGTGACCACAGGACTCCTATTTTCATGCTCTTGGCTGCTGAGCTCACTCTCTGCAGGGACCAAGGGCAGAGATCTGCTGTCACGGGGGTCCCAGGGTAGCCAGCCCCTCCTGCTGAGGCTGTCTTTACAGGGCTACCAAAACCTCCACACTCCAGCATCTCCTCAGGCTCCACAGCAATTTTTCAGACTCCAGGAGTGATGCTGGTACAGAGCTCACAGTGATGGATTCCTGGATGTCCTGGGAAGGAGGAAAACACAAAGCAGAAGAGAGATCCTCCTCCTTCCCTCCAGCTGCTGGTGGCTGAAGCACTGAGGTGAGTCCCGAGAGCAAGCAGTGGGTTAGACGACATGTGAAGATCAAACAAGGAGCTCCGGGGCATGGTGAATGCATCTCATCACATCATCCAGACATCCAGAAACACCGCCTGGGAGCATCTCCATGAGCTACATCTGTATGTGCCAAGTGGAGATACCACAGCACCCCCCTGAGCACGGGTGGGAGCATGGATAATATTTGCTGGGAATATCACTGTATTTGGGGATGGTTTGTACCTTCAAGAGTTCAGCTAGAAATAACTGGCAGGATGATTTGCAGCCATCAGCAAACGTTACTTTCCCGAAAGCAGCAGCAGCACCAGAGGGAAAATGAACTGAAGCAGGTGTGGGAAGAGTTGGGAAGTGCAAGAATTGCATTCCTGAGCCAAATGGACAGATTGAGACAGAGGAAAACAAACCGGGAAGCGAAATGGCTGCCTATTGCCTGGATTATTCAGGCGCTGTGGGGAGGTGGAGGTTGGGTTCAGGCTCATTCGGAGCCTGGGAGCTGTGTTTGTGTTCCAGCAGTTGTGTTAGTGCTCAGCCTGGGGTAAAGGGGTGCGTTTCCACCCTGGGCAGGGCTGGGATTGCCCTGGAGGTGTGTGGAGCAGCATCCTACAGAAGCACCAGCCCCACCACTGCGATGACCATGAGGAGCCCGGCCAGGATGCAGATGCTGATGAAGACGATGTCACTGGTGTCCTGGCTCTTGATTTCACGGGTGTCCATCGCTTCCCCCTCCTGCTGCTGGGCATCCACCAGGTTTTCTGCCTGGCTGAGCCTGGATGGGTCAGGGCCGGCGATGAGGGTGACCGAGGCTTCCTTCCTCTTGGGCTCACACTGCACCTCGTACTGGTGGATGTCCTCCTGGTCGCCCGCTGAAAAGTCGATGTAGAGGGTGCTGATGATGACGGACGTGTTGTTGCGTTTCTGCAAGACAAGGACGATGTCTCATCAGGGCTTTGTGCAGCTCATTTTCACAGGGGTTTGATGGGATGGCCACAAACCAGACCAGTATCTACTGGGAAGATGGGAGGGAATGTCCCTCTGCAGCCCGTGTGCCCGGCACGGGGATAACCATCTACTCAGCTTGCTTTAAAGGGAGGTTTGTCAGTCGCTTACCCGGGACTCGGTGCCGCAGGTATCAAACCTGGTGTGTATTTTGAAGCTCCTGCCAACCACCTGGGCTGCACAGGACGGGGTCCCCAAATAAATCCTGTTCCTCTCCAGCTGGGCCAGGGACTGCACGGGGATCTGGATGTGGAAGTCCGTCCGGGTGCAGCTGACGTTGATGGGCACAACTGTTGGGACACAAAACAAGGCACACGTGAAGGTCCAGCAGTTTTCAAAGCTCACTGTCCACATCACACATAAAGCAGGCAACCAACAGACCCCGGAGCAGCAGGGACATTGGCCTCATGGGTGTGCCGTGCCTCTCGCAGTCACCGGCATTGCAGGTAGGATTCACATGGTGGGTTTGGAACAGGCTGCCCAAAGAAGTGGTAAATGCCCCATCCCTGGCAGTGTTCAAGGCCAGGTTGGACTCAGGGGCTTGGAGCAACCTGCTCTAGTGGAAGGTGTCCCTGCCCGTGGCAGGGGTTGGAATTGGAGGAGCTTTAAGGTCTCTTCCAACCTGAACTATTACATGATTCTATGAGAATAGAAAAAAGGAGCTACACCCAAAATGCAGAAAGCACTATCAGTATTTTAGCCCTGTCCCATGCTGAGGTCAGACACAGTTGGCTCCCCAGTTACTGCTGTGCTTTCTGCCTCAGAGACCCCACCACCAACCCTCTTGAACCTCATCCTCCTTCCACTGCAGGAGACACTCTTCCAGTGATGAAATGGAGGAGATGCATCTTGGAGGACCCCACACCTGCCAACCCCACAGCGATGTAGTTGTGTGGCTGCCATATGGTCCCTGGGGAAGGGTGAGCCATGTCCCCAACCCCAGGGCATCCATCCCAGCCCAGGTCCTGTCCCTCATTAACCTTCCACTGTCCCCAGGATGGGGAGCTGGTGAACAGTGCATGGAGTGAGCTGCTGTTGAGCTGCCCTTGATGCTGAGATGAAGAGCAGGGAGCACAGCCTCTCTCCATCCCGCTCCCTCTGGCCCCTCTGGATGCAGAAAGCATCCACACAGGGAAAGAAGCAGGGAGGAAAAATGCCCCCTCTTTAAAATTAATCCTTGCTCAGCTTCAACCAACCACTTGGGCAGTATGAATTATTGAATTATTCCAGCTCCCTCTGAATAAGGGATAAATAAGACACAATAAAATCAATACGAAAAAAATAGTGTCACTTTGCTTCACTTAGTGCATTATAAAACCATTAGAAGATTTACCAAATAACTAAAGTGCATTAGATCAAGAGGAGGAGAAAATGGATCCTCTCTCCTGCCATGAAGGCTTTCATTCGGATGGCCATAAATCACACATGCCCAGCCCAAGTCATGCCCTTCTGTGGGCCCAAAAGGAAAGCATCTGCGTAACTGAGGAGCTGTGGATGTGGAGGGCAAAAGGAAAACACCTACATGGCTGAAGGGTTGTGGATGTGGAGGCTGAAAGGAAGATAATCTGCATGGCTGAAGGGCTGTGGATGTGGACATGGAGTTTGAGGTGCCCCTTTGCCACTGAGGGCAAAGGGAGAGAGGCAGGAGCCTTGGGCAGTCGGGAGAAGTCACATTGCTCTCCATGACGGGGCTTCCCCCTGCTCTTCAGCATCCTGTCTACCTGCAAGCTGCTCCATTGGGAATGGGGTTTCTCCATGACCAGACACAGTGAGGCCAAGATTTCTCTCCCTGCACACTGCTGTAAACCAGTAAGACATGAGCAGCACAAGGACAGGTACCGACCTGCTGTGCACACCAAAGCCCTGCTGCATGTCTGGTACAACCTCTCTCCCTCCCGAGGCTGCAGAGGCTCGGGACAAAACTCCATCCCATCTCTTACTCCTAGAGCCACCTATCCCCAAATCCCTTCTGCTACACTGGAAATGAGGAACATTTTGGTGCTGAGGGACAAAAGCTCATAAACTCATGGCCAACCAACCCCAGCTCCCGTGCTGCTGGTCCAGCAGCCCTGCTGTGGCTCCACCAGAGGCTGCTCCTGTCTGAATCATCCCTGACACACAGGTCAGCTCAGATGTAATTATCTTTAAACACAACAAACACCACGAACTGGCTGGCTTTTGAGGTGCAAAGGTTGGCAAAGACATGAGGAAGGTTACGCACCGCTCCTCCCACCGGCTGCAGACGCACCACTGGGATAAAGGGCATGCGGGCGGCAGGGATTGTTGGGCAGCACTGCCTGGATTTGGGAGCGCTGCGTCCCAGGGATCCTGCCCCTGTGGTGCTGCAGGAGAGGATGTTGTTTATGTCTGCCTGCTCAGCTGTGTGCTAGCGGCGCTGGAGCATCCTGGGGAGCAGGAACAGGGTGGTGATGCTGGAGCTGGTCACCTCCGCTGGGGCTTTGGTCTCCTAAAATCCCCCTGGGCTTTGTTTGCTTCAAGCCCTGAGGGAGCAGCGGGAGCATGGCAGCAGCAGAGACACAGGGAGGAGAAGCTGGAAAGCATCTCCTGAATACTAAACATGATGTGGAGCATGTGCGAGACACTCTGCAAGAGCTAGAGCTCACCCACCACGTCTTCTCCACCCCATCCCTAAAGAGCCATGTGCTCTGCTCCTGCAGACGGGTGTTTTCGCTGCACAGTCCTCAAGGAAATTACACACTGTTGAGCATATCCCAATGGAAATAAAGCATTGAGAGCACCCAGGTCAGGCCTTACCTCCCACATAGGTGATGGAGAAGCCCCTCTTGGCCGTGTTGCGGTCCGTGTGGAGCACCAGCAGCACCCGGTTGCTGCGGGAGGTGATGGGTGCCAGGCTGTCCTGCCCGCACCACTGCCCCAGCAGGGACCCGTTCTCAGCACCACCATCAAAGGCAGCCACACGGTCATAATCACAGCCACCCGTCAGGCTGCTCCGGCCCTCCAGGTCCATGTCCAAGAAGAAGATCCTGACCCGGTAGCCTGGGGGCAGCTGGATGCTCCACTGGCACTTGAGGTTGTTGGGGTAGAAGTTGGGGTACCGAGGGCTGGAGAAGTTCCCTTTGATGGAGGTGAACGCCTGCTGGCACTCGCCTGCTCAGGGAGGAAGGGGAAAGGAAAACATGAAAGCAAACCTGAAGCCCCCATGGTGTGGATGAGCTGGCAGATGAGCAATCACTTCTTCCATTGATAAAGGATGCTCTGCCCTTTACCTCACTGCTTCCCAGCCTTGTGTCTGGCCAAGGGACACCCACCAGTTCGAGGTGATGGCAATGCCCAAGGTGGCCAAAGTCCTACAAGAGCAGATGGTGAAAACTCACATGCCCAGGGAATGGCATGAGCAAAAGAGAAGGGTGGCTCTTGCACAAGAGAAACACAATCTGGGGCCTGGGATAGCCACAATGGTGCCATTTGCATTGCACGGTGGTTTACGCTTCACACCATCCTCTCATGAGCTCTCCCCAGTGGGCTCCCCTCCACTGTCATCGCTTGCTGCCATGGGAGGTTGAGCATCACCACCACCACCCCCCCAGGGACCCATCCCCACATCCTTCCCACT